TTAGTTGTTTACTTGTGCCTCTAAGGTCCTTTAAGGTCTTAGTTCTTTTTTTATTATTTTTATTATTTTAATAGTTATGTCTATGTTATTTACTAAATTTAAGGTTTAATAAGCTCCTGCGTTCCTATTAGCCCCTCTAGTCTTAGCATTAGAGCCTAAGCTCTGTAAGAAAATTCTTATAACGTGATAGATAAGCGAGTCAGTTCGCACCAACGTCAAGTTTTCTAGAATAGGTGTAATTTTTGTTAAATATATACAAATCCCTTACAAGAAACTAATTACAGCAAGTTTTAAGACGTGCAGCGTGCGCGCTGTGGAGCTATAAGCTATAAGAGCAGACAGTTAGGACACGTCTCTGTAACGGGCTGAACGCCCTTCGCCTCCCATACTCGTCTACGACCTCGTTTACTCCACCTGCCCGGCCTGATTGTTACCCTAGCAACCAGCATTGTATATAGATAGCTACGTAGCCGAGAGCTTAGCTCTCTATCGAATACAATCTTGTTACCTTGGCCTGTCCGATCGTGCTCCCGAGCTTAAGACTACCCTCCGGGGTCGAGCCCCTTACAAGTATGCATTCACCTATTGTACAGAAGAAGAAAGATATAGAAAAGAACTATCTAAAGGGCCCTCCTTTTATAGTTGTTACTCGTACGAACGCTTAGACCTTTAGTCTTCCTCCTTACTTAAGCTTATTTGTACGTAGCTAACTACGTTATTTAGTTACGTGACTAAAGTTATGTAATTCACTACTATGTGACCTGTAGGTCATACCTCTCTAGCGTAGCCCTTTACAATACTCCCCTTCTTCACCTTATCTAATATTACGTGCGTATTCTTTAGTCTTCTTTTCCTTTCTCTCTGTCTGTTTGCTATCACATGTTTAGCGTCTTGTATAGTTAAGGTAAAGGCAAATAGTAAAAGTAAGAGAAAGTTAGGCAACGGTGCTATATAGCAAACGCTGTCCAGCGAGCATAAATACTCTTCTTCCCCTACCTACTACTTGTTTCCTCTATCCCTTTAGCTTTAACTTTTCTCTTATTATAGTTACTTTCTTAAGTCTTCTCATACAATAGCTAATTGTGGGATATAGGCTAATAGCTAAGTTAACGCCTTACGGTTCTGCACGAATAGTAGAGTTAATAACATTATTAAGCAAGCAACTACTTAGATCTTTAATATTACTTATTAGTTGCTTACTCGTACAACGCTAGGTGCCATCTAGGCTATAGCGCCTATTATTGTTAGACAAGTTAACCTTAACAACTACTAAGTCTAGTACATTTTTAACGTGCGGGTTGCTAAAGAGATTTGCTAAGTATTTACTACTACTCTTATAAGTGTCACTTCCTTATTATACGTCTAAATTAGCTAACTAGTGTAGCCTAAGCTTTGCTAGGTCTTCAACATATTCTACTATCTAAGGGGGCTATTGCCCTACGATGCTACCTTTAGTCCTAGCCTTAGCGGTTATTCGCCTATTGTCGCCTATACGACGCTCTATGCCTATTAAATCTTGGGTGGCTAACCCTTATACCTTAAGGCCTTCCTTGTCTATTCGCGTGGCGCCTTTAATGCTACATTTTGCAATAACTATGCGCTAGTTTTAGATAGGGCGAAGGAGTTCACAGCCTTTGCTAGTTATGTCTCTATCTATAGAGAGTGGGGGGGTGCGTGTAGCAATTGCATCTAGCAGGACTATAGCGCCCGTTGTTTGGCAGAAGGAGGGGATAGTTCGTCCGTCCATACGCCAGCTAAGCGTCGTCTTCTAGGCACTAAAAGGGATTGTTTAGCCTCTAGGGGTAGCGCTAGGTCTCCGTTACTTATTAAGTAGCTTTCCCCTCTAGCTATTTTATAGCTAGCTGTTAGGTTTTTGTATAAAGGAAGTTTAGGCGAGCTATTTGTCTAGGGCCTTTATATCTTTAAGTGCTATAGCTAGTTCCTAACTTCCCTCTAGGTAGCCTATCCAAATGACGAGATATTATAGTTCTTCGTTTCGCATTCGTTTGTCTGTAATACCTTGTACGAGCTATTCTAAATAGTCTTCTTCTTCTTCTCTATCTTCTAATACAAAGATAGCTGTAGGGCTACTATTGTTTATTTGTTATAATAGTAAGAGGTCGTTAGATGCTAGCCTTAGCTTGTCTACGTAGAAGGATTTTGTCTCCTAGGGCACCGTAAGTTCTACCTAGTAGGGGTCCCGTACGTAGGCGACTTAGTACTTTCTACTTTTCTAGTCTAGCTTTTTACTTATCTAGGCTGTTTGTATGTTGCGTAAGTCTAGCTAGACCTAGTCTCCTACTTTGTAAGCAGGCGATAGTTTGCGAGATTTGTTTACCTGCTTCTCTTGCTCTTATTTGGCGTATGACATTACTAAAACTACCTAGTTTACTACATTACTAATTATACGTACTATCTCTTTAGCTACTACGCTCGCTTTTTAGTTATCTAAGATAGCTTCTTTTTAGGGAAACAGGGTATTATAGTAACTATAGTAGAGAAAGAAGGGGGATACACCTATAGAGGCGTTTGTACAAGAGTTAAGCATAAGTTCTAGAAGAGGGCAAAGCTAAGCCTAATTGTCTTAGTTGTAGTTGCAAAAGAATTATACAACTACTTCTATGTCGCTATTAGCTTATTCTGTTGTCTTGTCTGTTTGTGGGTGGTAAGCTATAGAGAGATTCCGCTAAATATTTAGTAGCTTGCAGATGTTTTCCTATAGTTAGCTTGCGAACTAGGGGCTGCAGTTAGACGTGATAGACTATAGAAAGCTATAGTGGCGGTAGACTTCTCGTACAAAAGCCTAAGCAACGTCTATTATCTTAATCTTGTTCATAGGGACTAGTACAACGCCTTTCCCTAATTAGTCCTTTACTACTATTAAGTTCGTGTTTCTAAGAGAGTTAGGAAGGCCTATAATAAAATTAACTATAAGGTGCTGCCACATACGACTAGGCATAGGTAGAGGCTTTAAGTAACTAAACTTTCCATCCCGCCAGGGAGTGCTTTTGCGGCATAGCTCGTAGTTCTGTACAAAGCGTCGTATGTCATCGCTCATGCGAGGCTAGTACTATTCTCGTGCAACAATCTAATAGGTCTTTTCTTGTCTAAGATGTCTAGTTAGGAGAGATAAGTAAGCTACTTAAATAACTCCTATGCGTAATAGTTTAAAGTCTAGTACCCACACACGTCTACGCTATTAGAGTCGTTCTTCTTGGTTAATTGTATAGTTACTTAGCGAGATAGCAACCTTACGCGTGCTAGAGAGCGATCGTCTTCCTTCTTGTATGGCGGCTAGTACTTCTTAGTAGATAGTGTCATCCTGCGCTGCCTATACCTAATGTTCTCGTACTAAAGCTAGAAGGTCTAGGGGTTAAGGTAGTGTTTCTAACACTAAGGAGGTTTCTTAAGTCTATATAGGCAGTGCTAGGACGTAGTCTAGCGTATAAGCTAGGACTAGCATTGTAAATTTACAAGAGGAGGTATACTTATCCTCTACGTCCTTAAGTATATCTTAATCTTAGCGAGATAGCGCGTCTGCTCTTATGTTATCCTTGCCTAGACAATAGCGTAACTTTATGTTTAGGAAGCGAGCAATCTCTAAGTTCTATTATTATTATTATTATTATTATTATTATTATTATTATTATTATTATTATTATTTTAGTTTAACGTCCTTTTTCAGCCCGAAGGGCTATATAAGACGTGTAGGGTTTTTAGGCCTACAAGTATCTAAGTAGGTTGTTTCTAGCTACGATGTTTAGGAGGGGTTTTAACTAGATGAAGGTGAGGCT